TATAATAACTGGTTAATTCTACTATTCATTATTGTTATTTTAACTATAATAACTGGTTAATTCTACTATTCATTATAGTTAAAATTTTAACTATAATTTTATAGTTGCATTTTTAACTATTATTTTATAGTTATTCCAACCATGTAGATTCAACTAATTCATTTTAGTATTCCCAACTATACATTTATTGTGTCACTATATTAACCTGAGATTATGGTTGGGTTAATCATTTATGTGGTTGTAACAACTATAATTTTTTTTCCGTGTAGGTATTTGGCAGCTCTATTTTTTTTTTTTTAATATATAAAACTTCGTGCTACACATTTTTTTATGTACATTGATATGATATTATGATACCTAGTCGTGGGGGAAAGCCCCTCTACACTTCTTTCAAATTTCAACACAACTTTCATATAGCTATAATTTTTAATAACATTTTGTATAGTTTATCAGTGGCGTGCTAAAAAAAATTTCGTGGGTATAGGGAGGAGGGTTCTAGTCCGATAACCTTAGTTTTCAAGATACTATAATATGACATTAATCTTAAAATTTATACTTTATTTTTAATTTTTAATAAATATAAAGTTTTATTTATTAATACACTATACACATAGTCATACTTCTTAAATCCATATTACACTCTTTCAATTTCGGACTATACTGCACTCTGTTTAGATCATCGACACATTCTTTCACGTATATAATATATATTTACCTATGTATATCAGTACGGATTGGACTTTTATAAGAATTATTGTTTGTAGTAATATTATACGTCACACTATATCGCGTTATGGACTCAAAATAATAATTTAGACAATAAACAGAAGGTACTTTTATTATTAACTATTCTATTGCGTATGCAGCATGCGTATTTATGTTGATATTTTAAGCACACTTTTTTACTATATTATGCGACTGGTAAGTGGTAGGAGCGAAGCGAATGAATTATAGTTGTACGTAGTAAACTGCATGCAGTATGTCCTAGAAGTCCCGTATCACCTTTAGTGTCTCCGTGGCAAATCAATATGTTTAAATATGATTTTTTTTTTATCAATTCAATGACATAAGTTAATTTCAAAAAAAGTAAAAATTTAATTTTTAAGATGGAAATTATTAAGATTATTATAAGATATTATTAACATATGTTTAAAAAAAAAAATATGAAAAAATTGAGCGGAAGTCGACTTCTCAATACGTGGAAACCATTATATAATATATTATGTACCTACTACCTATACTATACATTACTACTTAATATTAATAATACTACTATAATTAACACCAATTGGCAATTTATAACAATAAAAATAATATTGTAGAAGTAGTATTTCCACATTTACCAATCAGTTCATAATATTTTACAAT